GAAAAGTTCTCGGATTTCGAAGGTGGTATCATGATTTCATCAATTACTTCACTTGCTTCCTATGTGTTGTTATCCTGTGGCAGTAGTGTAAAAATGTGTAGTCTTTTCGGGGGACGTTCTGCAAATGGAAGACCAGCCTTCTTTGAGGGACTGAACAGCAGTGGAGCTGATTTTTAAGGGGGAACTGCATCAAATTCTCTCCTCTCTTAGGTATCCAATAGTCCTCTCTTAGGTATATGTATTTATGTATGTATGTATGTATGCATGCATGTATGTATGTATGTAATGCATGCATGCATGCATGTATGTATGTATGTATGTATGTATGTATGTATATGTATGTCTGTATGTATGTATCCTGTTTTTCCTGCGTTTTCGCAATGGGAACGTCCAAAAACACAGAGTTTTCCAGATTTTCGGCAACAGGAGGCAGGAAGCCCAAGCCAGCAAAAAAGCCGGCAGGGGGAATCGAGCCTGGGACCCCTGTTTTGCGACACCGGCTCCCCGAAGACTACGTTTAGTGGAACGTCATCAAATTGCCGCGCAGTCGGAGGGGGAGGGGGGGGGGGGTGGGACCGAAAAACCATGCGTATTTGACGTGTGCCGGGGGGGGACTAAGGGGGGGGTTATCCTCTATCCTCTCTTAGGTATCCAATCGTCCTCTCTTAGGTATCCGACACGCCGAACAATGTCGGCGGATATTTCTGGTCCCTGGCCCTGGTCCCGGTTTGGTCGCTTGCCTTTTTTGGGGGTTTTAGGTCGGCATCGGATGCCCGCAGGCGGCGCCTGGCGTCCGTCTCCGGGCCACTGCCGGAGGAGCTGCGGCCAGTGAAGCCCCCGCCCCCAGTGGCTGTGAAGGCTTTGGAGGCCGGGTAGCGAGGTGAAAGGATCTCAGCAGGCAGACATATGGGTCTGTCTTTTTTCAGGGGAACCCCTCTTTGGCTGGTTAAAACAACGCAGGCAAACCGCCAATTTGGAGGTTCCCCTATTTTGAGACACACCCATATGGGTGTGTCTCAGCAAGTACCCAGGTTTTCCAGGTTTTTCCCCTTACAGCCAGCCCAACAGCTCCCCCGGAAAGCCCTATCGGGGGTAGAGCGAGCTCGCCCATGACGCTTCTTGAGATTCCTTATTTACGGTTTGATCTTGCAATTTGCCAAGAAATGTGCAGCAAATTCTGCTTGCAACACACCCATGGCAAGCGAGCTCATGCTGATTGCTTTCGGTACGGCGACGCGATGGTCCCAACAGACAAGGATGCAGATGTGTATCAAACGTCTTCATCAGCTGGGGCCATGTTTTTGTCCAACGGAAGCCGCGCAGCTCCGCAGGAAGCGCCAGTTTGGAAAGCATCGGACCGGTGCCAGCTCTGCAAGACGGACTTCTGGTTGCTTGTGAGGCCCGGAATGCTCGCTTGGCTTTGATCCAGATCCAAAACGCTTGGGCATTGGCTTGTTCCCGGGGGCGGTGAACAGCCAGCTGCACATCCGGTGGTTTGGTGCTTTGAACATGCTTTTGTTTTGATGATGTGGCCAAGGCCAGCAACTCACAGGCCTTTACAGGGACCCTTTCTCAAGGCAGAGGTCTCCCACCATGGCAATCTGCAGACATGCTTCCTTCTTTTTGAGCATTGTACAATGAAATATGACACTCACGCCCAACATGATCGTCTTGGAACAGGGGTATTGTTTGTTTGTTTGTTTGTTTGTTTGTTTTAGGCACTTGTCTAGGCTCCGGATGTGGACCCAGGTGCACTGTGAGACTTGCACAACATGTCGGCGTGATGTTTTTGCGTGCTCCTCCCAACTTGGAAGGTCCAGGGCTTGCGGTTCGGACCGGGAAGCCCCCACGCCGCAAGCACTTAAGTTGGAATTGTTGGGTGCCTTAAACAATTCGTCAGGGGCATGTCTCAGCTGCCGTTGGGCGCGTGTCTTCTTTTTCCGTCGGCTCTAGGAGGCACCACTGCCGGAAGTGCGGGCGCTGCATTTGCAATAACTGCTCCCCTGCAGAGTGCATGCGGCCCCGGCCTGAGCTGGGACTCTACCAGCCCTGCCGGCACTGCAAGGCGCGCGTCAGTGTGGGCACAACAGGTGCTGTATGGGTCAAAATTAAACCACCAGGAATTGGACCGCAGGCTTTGGCCCATGTTATTTACCAGGTTCTATTTTGGGGTTGCCCTGTTTTTGACCCACAGCCTGGTGGGCGTGGGGCGGCTCCAGGAATGAGCATGTCACGGAAGGGCACCCTTCATAAGGCCACCCCAAATCACGCTGCACTTAGGGCATGGGTGCGATTTGGTGATTTGGCCGAAGTTTGGGCTGCTCATGGCACGAGAAGGAAGCTAATGCCCTGTTCATACCAAGTGACGTGCAGATGGATTATTGTGCGCTCATTGACAGTGGCCCTTTGTTTACATTGGCCCGATGAACTGAAATATCTGAATTGCATACTGAACAGAAGGGTTCCGCTCGAGCTCGGTCTCATCTCTGGACAGAAAGTGACTTGATGCTTTCCAAGGGCAACGTGCGAGCCTTGGGCCAGATGGTAGTTTCTACCTAGGGGGCACCGGAAAAGGGGGGTACATATTCCCCTTGCGGACGCAAGGAAATCCATAGGGAGGGCCCCATGTTGTTGCCAATGGACCGGGATGCATAACTTATCATACCTTCATTTTGTTTCAGGGATCCTGAGTCAGTCACATGGGGCAGTGGTATCGCCTGTTGGCATCGCCCTGGTGTTTGGCGCTGTGCAAGTTCACATCAGCTTGCTTTCCTACTGGTTTCCTGACAGAAAAGGACGACGCACCCTCCCACCAATCAACATGGAACCTGACAGGGGGTGCCCCTTTAAAAGGAAAATAGTCCATGACCCCCCTGACAGGTTCCATGTTAACTGGTGGGAGGGTAGCATTTGTTTGATCGAGTTGAGCTTAGGGCAAAATGGACCGTGGTATGTGGCACCTCCGCAGGTATGTGTGCCACCGGCGGCGCGTGTCATAGCGGGCCTTTCCTGAAGGGCAGCGAATTCGGAGGCAAGGCGGCACCTTCCGGCGGAAAGCATGCCCGGTTTAGGTTTCGAGTCAAGGGCTCACGTCTGTAAAAGACATCTCAAGGCTCTATTTGCCGATGTGCCGGCTCTTTGAACCAGCTTACTCGACAGATGACGCTTGTGTTTGACCAAGTTGTTCTTCAACCTGCCCTGAAAGTCAGGTTTTGACGGTGGAGCAACCTGTTTTTACCTGGGCACTTTGTCACAACAAGTGCATGGATGTTCAAGGGGAGTAACTATGTAGGTTTTTCTAGGCCGGTGCCCCAACAGCCTGCCGAGATTGCTCTCCCCTTGCTTTGACCACCAGGGCATGCTCAGCATGGAGCGGCCGCTTTTTCAAGGCTGCTCTGTGTGGATGAGCTTTTCTGTGGGGAAATGTGCGCATCTGACCAAACCAGGCGCACCAAACTTGCAGGGAGCACCGAGAATTGGCTTGGCCGCGGCTTCACTTCCGGTGTGCCGCCTTGCCCCTTTTGGTGCTTGAGAGGAGGCTTGACCTTCAAGCCCCGAATTTGCTCTCAGCGGGTCTTTCTTGAAACTCAGCGGAGTGGAGTCCGCACCTCCTCGAATGGTTTCCCACCCGGAAAAAGTGGGCGGTTTCCTCGAACCAAGCAAGGTCCCAACAATTTGGGGACCGCGAGAGAGGTTTAGAAGCCAGATTGACCCCTTATTGGACGATCATGGGGAAGGTCCTGGGGCATACTACATCTTCCTGACGCAGTGCGAGTGGGGTCGTTGTGCCAAAAGAGGTATAGTCGGTTAGTTCAGAGCACTCTCCAGAGGGTGGTGGTTCCCTTGCAGTGGTGCCGCAAAATGGGAATAGGGATCCCTGATGTCAAACAAACCCAGTATAAGAATGAACAGAGGACGCGCTTAGTGCAGCCAACTTTACTGCCCGGAGCTAGGGCTCCGGGTGCCGAGACAATCCTGCGGAAATCAGGGCTCGCTTAGCTGGCGAGATCCCTCAGGCAGCTGGTGGTGAGGTGATGGTCCCGAACTCGGGGCTTGAAGCTGGCACAAAGCAAAACAAATCGAGATTGAATCTTCCAATCATGGATGCTTAGCTAAGAGCAAGTTGCTGACAGACAGGCTTCTGTTCTTTCGCGGCAGCCTAGTCCACTCAATGAATTGGAAACAAGCTACGGGTTGAAATAGATGCCCTTCACTTACCCACATAAAGGAAATTGTGCCATCTAGTTTGACCTTCATGCAGCGCACGGTCACGTAACATGCCGTGAGTTTCGTTGGGTTCACCATGATGTTGTCGAGGCCCTTCCCTCATGCCCATTTTTCGTTGTTTGCTGCGGGATTTTCGTTGAATTTGCGCTCACTAGTTTTTGCTGTCCCATACTTGTCGCGGCTGCGGCACATTCCGGCCATCAGCCCGCATTCAACGCCTGTTTGTTTGATTTTTTGCGCGAGCTTCGTGTATTCCTCGCCTTCTCGCGGCGATTCACTCAAACCACCAGCCAATCTGAACCACATCCAGGGGTGCGGGAGAGTTGCTCGAGAGTCATTTATCATTTGAAAAAACTACCCGATACCAAGATCCTGGAAAATTGCCCTGGACGTGGAAGGCAGGGGCCACATGTGTTTTTCCCGGCCCCGCCTTTTTGCGGGCCCCGAATTTGCGGCGCCGTTGGAATTTGGCGCCCTGATAGCGGGCCCAGTCTCACAGGAGGCCCGAAGGGCACTGCTCTTTGCGGCCGATCGCAGCCGAAAGGGTGAGTCGTTTCGTGTCGGGTGTGTTTTTGTGTAAGCCAAAGAGGGCACAGGAAACTATGCCATGAATTGCGTGTCAACAAAAACTTTTTTTTGTTTGGTTGCTGAGCTTCTTCTATGTCGCCACATGCCGCCACCGCAACCCGACCTGGCATTCTTTGGCTGCCGTGTTGCTGGGGGGCGGGGGGCTGAATCCCGGAGATCCTCGTCACCCTTCTTGGGAGCCCCAGGTCCCTGCGGCAGTGCCTCCACGAGGAGTTGGTCGGGGGGACCTAGGCCTTTCGGCCATGGCGTCACTTGGGGAACCTTCAGTGGTCGAGGCTGGTTCAATGTGTCTTTTTCCTTCTTTTTCCTACCAGCACCCAAGGGTGGCTTTTCCGTTTGTAGCTGCACTCAAGGCTGTGAGCCTTTTTGGGTACAAATGGAAAAGCCACCCTTGGGTGCTGGTTTGTTTGTTTGTCCGGCCGCTTGGTCTCACCAAAGGTTGGCTGAGATGGCCAGCGCGAGGAAACTGAGATGGCCAGCAAAACGCAACACGCCGAGTGGCTTAAGGGAGACCAATGTGTGAATTGAACGGCGGCCTATGATCCAAAGCTGACACGCCCCAGAAGAAATGCATGAAGGACGCCGTAGGTCCGGAGCTATCCAAACCTGCCTGGCCTTTTGCTCTTTTGGCCGTCGTTCTGGTTGGGGGTTGGCCTGGCGAGGTTTCTGGTTGTCAATATGTGTCAATATGTTTGAGTACTCATATGGCTCGATATTTTTTTTATCCCCACCCCCCCCTTGTGAGATGGAACGTTCGCGTTGCCTTGCGGCCCGCGCAGACCCCACACCCCCAGCTTGAAGCACGGTTTCACATTGTCATGAGCCGCAATTGAAAGGACCTTCAGGATGGAAAGGGTAGCTCGGGCTGAGGTTTTGTGGGTGGGGTGGTGGGCGAAAGAAGTCTTGGGGAGTTCCCTTTTTCTTTGCTTGGTTCCCGTTCCCCTCAGAAAAAAAGTCACCCCGGGCTTCGTTTCCCAACCCGCGCTTGCGCAATGCGAGCGCCACGGAGGCACGAACCAAGGAGCTGCAGCAGCAGCTTCAGGCGCAAACCCGGTCCCATGCAAGGGGAACCAAGTCAAGAAATGGCCCCTTTCTAGTGCTACCTTCCATTTCCATTCTTTCCAGATCCTTCTTTCTAGAAAACCTCCGGAAAGCCAGGGAAACGGCCGGTTTCGAAAAGAGCGATGGTTGGAAAGAATGGGGAATCAACCCTTAGACCCTTGAGGGACATGGGGGTGTATCTTCTTTTTTTTTGCGGGGGCCCCTTGGTTGTGTTCAAGGGGAGCCAGAAAATGGTTCAAAGGGGGAGCCAACATGAAGAACCAACCAGTTGGAGTTCCCTATGGTGAGACAACCCGTATGGTCTTGAAGGAAATCTTGCCGCCACTGGGAGCGTGTGCGGTTGTGCGCGTGTGGTTTCCACTAGGATTGAACAAGTTGCGAGCGCTACCGGGGGGGGGGTGGGGGGCATCTGAAACAATGGACCTTTCTTGATTTTTCCCCGGTATGCCTGAAAGCCCCTAACCTGGAACGGCGCTTGCGCCAGAAAGGCATTAGCTTTTGAAGAGTCTTGGTAGCTCCATGAGGGCGTGGGGGTGGGAGGAGTGGCCCAGGTGGCCCAGTCACCTTGGCGTCTCTGTGCATAAGGTCCTGGTCCAAGCAAGACATGCTTCATTCCAACCCCCTGTTCCATTTATCACCACATGTGACCGCAAATGACCACGAAGGATGCAGGTTTCCGAAGAATCAGGGAAATGTCGCCAGTCCGGAGTGAGCATGCACTTGCCAAGTCTGGTTGCCCTCTCTGCAGGCTCGCGCTCGGCGAGAGGAGGCTCCGAGGACACGGCAAGTGGAAAAAGGGGAGGGGCTCTAGCTGCTATTTGCTGGGTAGACGTTCGAGGCTTCCACCATTTTTTGAGCTTCAAACGGCGCCGCGGAAGCTGTAATTAGTTGTTTGAACGAACGGGCAAATCGCAGGAGCCGGAATCCGGTTGCAGTATGATTCACTTGCTTTTGCACCCGTTGGCTGAGCTTCGCCGTACTCTTGCTGCATTTATGCCGTGATTTGCGGCATCCGGTCCGCAAGAGCATCTGACGTTGACTTGGGGCTGGGAGGTCCAAATATGCAGCATTTTTTCTCTCACCAGCTGGCGCCTTGCAAAGACATGGGGTGGTAGCGGGGTTGGCTGTACCTGTGTTTTTGGCCAACCTGAAGCGTCTCGTTGTGCTTGGATGGCAATAGTTTTCCCCCAAAACCTCAGAGGCTCGCTTCAAGAAGACTCCGCTGATACAGCCAAGTTTTAACAGAGCATGTTTTGCCAAGCCAAGCAATGCGTTCGCGACGCGCATGTTGGTGCACAGGATTCCTCCCTGCCCCTTGTTTTCTCCCAACCAACATCCTAGGTTTGAGGAGGCCACCGGATATGGGAGGCTCCGGGAATGGCTGGATCCATGGCTCATCGCTAGGCTCTCACCTCGGGATGCCGGAGCACCCAGACTGGAATCGCGGATTTGTCAAGGGTGTGTGTGTGTGTGTGTGTCATCGTCATCTCGAGAGAGTGCCTTTCTCATGAGACTTGGTTAGCGCGAGCTTCGTACCGCGGGTGTCCCAAAGGTCCTTCCGCCATTCATCATCCCAACGTGTAACCAAATCACAAGCGGAAGGGCATGGCCGTGAATGAGCTGTGATTGAAGTCAGCTGGCAGTTTGCGCCTGAAGATCATGGATTCCCCAACCTGCCCTAGGGAAGGGCTATATTCTAGGGCTCAACCCTCATTAAAAGAAAGGTTGACCCAATTTGGATGATGACAATCCTTAGTCAAGCAATGGTGGTTGTATGAACCCCCAAGGTTTTAATGGTTTGAACCCCAGGGTGCGCAGGAAGGAGTGGGAAGGGGTCTGAAGTGTGCGCGTCACCGCAGTCTCTGGCTCAGCGCGAAGAAACCCCGGCACTAGCGCTTTTGAACATGGCCGAGGAGGAGGGACAGGAGGTGATTTTCACCGAGACTCGGCAGCAGGTGCTACCCCAAAGGGGTATGTGGCTGCGGGTCTCAAATAGGTACCCCAAATGGAACCATGGCAAGTGGAAACATGGACCAAAACCTGTGTTCTCCTGGTGGTTTAATTTTGACCCATATCCATATCCGAGAAGCCGGTATACGGTATATCTAGAGGTTGCAGAGGCCCGTTCTACCGAAACACTTCCCGAGTGCCAGGTGGCTATGGGCCGATGGGATGCTCGACAGCCCCTTTGAAAGGATCTTTTTTCACATCCAAGGTCCAAGGTCTTGAGCATGAAGACCCAAACCCGTGGATGGCCCAGCCGTTTTCAGTGATTGTCAGGTCACATGGCCCCGTTCCAGAGGCGAAACAGCGGGTGGGAGATTGGCAGGGGAAGATCGTTGGCGGCGTCATCTCAAAACGCACAAGGTTGTGTTCGTTTTGAGTCCTTGAGAGTATCCTGCCTGGGCATTTTGTAAGGGAAGCCAATCGGAAACTGAAGCTCATTCTGGGTCGCATGGAGGGACAAGCCCACATCTACTTTCTCGAATCTTGCCCCCAGAAGCTGGGTGACGAATCTCCTTTGGTTGACCCCTTCTGACAGGGTTCGCCTCTGCTGCTCAGGGCCCTAGCCGTCCTGCAAGGCAAAAGAGGCCAAGGCTATGTACTGTGTTTCTGGGCAAACAATAGCAACCTCACACAAGGCCAGCTAAAGCGATCTCACCAGGAAGGTTTGAATCGTGCTGGTGAAGCGTCGTAACGAACATGTTCATGTTCAAGTCTGCCAGCACTCACAATAAACAAGACGCATGAACTAGGCTTGTAGATCTTCAACATTCTCTTGCCAGCACGGCGCGCGACCCTCCATTGCATATGCAGTGAGGAAAACACTGCGCCGGACCGTGAGATTTGGGATGAGAAGGGTGGCCTCATCAAGAAGGGTGCTGCCGAGATCGCTGAGCGGGATCAGGACGGCCTTGTTGGTTTAGCCACGTTTTTATGGTCGAGCTCTGGAAAATAGAGGTCCCTGAAGGTTTTCTTCTTTTAGGTGATTTGTGAGGTGACCAAGATGTTGCCTGTAGCTCCACTTACTTTGTTTCCAATGTCCAGGACCACGTGCCGGAAGTGAAGGTCCTCACCACTTTGGGCATGCCGGGGCCTCAATGTTTGAGCTTGAGCGCCGAGGCCGTTCTTTTTTTAGGAAGGTTGTTGCTGTGGTTGGCTACTCTGGGGTTTCTTGCTTTTGTTTGTCTTGCTTCCCTGGAAAACCGATCTCCTCAAAAAGGGGCTTTTGTCCAAGTTGTGCCGTTTGTCTCACGCCGTTTAATGTAAGCACGATTTTTGGCGAGCTCATCTGGAGGTAGAATGAGGTCACCCGTGAAGGTTCAACCCTCTGAGATTCCCCAGGTTAGGTTGGCATATATCTTTTGTGTCCCTTCTAAACAGAGAGGAAACCTACTATTTCAGGGAACCACCCCCCAAAATGGGTGGCCCTTTGCTTTGGTCCTGTGCTTGGTGTCCTGCATGCCCGACTCCATGAAACGTAGCTTAGCTAAGCTTCGACTCTTGGGTTTTTGCAACTCAACATCTCATTTGTTTTCGGATATGCGGGGCAAGCAAAAGTGGTTGGCTTCGTCCAAATCGCAGAGGCACATGAAACGTGGAGCAGTGCCATGTTTCAACAAGCTTATGGCTGGTAGCTTCTTATAAGGATGCATCAACTTGACAAAGTTTTCCCTTTTTCCGTGTTTTTTCTTCTTGTTTTTCCTTTTTTTTCCCTCACCCGCCCCGCACAAGACGCCTCCGTCTTGCTCAAGCAGAGGTGTGGTTCTTGTGTTGCAAGGGGGTAAACTAAAATTGAGGGGTTGTAGCTTTGCCTACTTTCCAATCAAAAGCATTTGAGTCCCCAAGGACCGTTTTTTCCGTTTCCATGTTTGCCTTTGGGAGGGAAGTCAACAGTTTTTTTTTGGGGGGCACGTCAGTTGGATATGTGTCAAGATGGGGGGGGTCCCCAACATTGTGTGTTTGCTTTGTTGGTGCCCCTTTAAACAAACCTGCAAAGGGTACCCTGATGTACCCTGTCCACTAACACGGAACACAGCGGGTCCCTTTTCATGGACTCAGTTGCCCAAAGCGAATCGACCTTTGACCTTTTGGTTTTCCTGATTTGGTCCATGTTTAGTCAAGGTTCCAAAAGGTGATCACCTTCTATTTCCGGGTCCATTGGGCAAATGACTGGATTCATCCAGCTGGTGCCCAGAAGGGTATGTGGGAATGAAGCCAGGAATTCCCACATTCAGGAAGCCACCAGGTGGATGGTTGACAACAGTTCGTTCCAATTCTCATCCCCTGCTTCTCTCGCACCGAGCGCAAGACCTGGACCAGGGTCACTCAGATCGCTCATCGCTCTCGCGTTTTGCTGGGGTCATTATGTTGACCGTTTCTGGGGATTATCAAAGTCAGAAACTGGTTTCGGTTGTTTCCCTTTAACCCATCACTTGGTCATGGGGGCTAATAAGGGCTAAACAAAAGGCGTGTTTGGGCTCCCTCCCCCCTCCCCTCCACCTCCCTCCCCCCCAGCCCCCATGACTTAGGGGGTGACACTGATCATCATAATGAGGCCGCGTTTGGCGCGAAAGAGACGCCGAGGTTCGCGGTGCCGGTGACGGCGGAGACAACCCTCGGGGAGATCCGGCAGAAGGTTCAGGCACGGCGGTCGGGCTGTCGGGAGGGGCCGTAGGGTGTGGCGTCGCATTTTGACCTGTTTGTGGCGTAGCTTTTGTTTCATCAACCCTGATGAGAGGGTTGATGAGTAGGCCACTTTGTCGCCCACATATGGTATCTTGGAGCGGTCACCGGTCCTTCAGAAGCGCCACAAGCAGCAGCCAGGGGTGCTCTGCATGGCCCGACAGAGGGCCCGGGCTTTGCAGGAATGGAAGCCGGAGTACTCACTGGAGCAGATCGAGCTGGTGTGCAAGGACAAGGATGATCCTCGGCGCGTGTTATATAGTTTGTGGCTGGATGCTTTGGTGTGGGTGGCTGGGTGCCTGTGTGTGTGCGCGCATGTGCAGGTTTGCGTAGTTGTTTGTTTGCTTGATGTGTGCTTGTTGTTTGCTTGTTTGTTTGAGTGATTTGTTGATCGGTTCATTGCTCCATTGCATTGGATTGGGTTGGATTGGACACGTTGCCTTGGCTTGGTGGATTGGATCGGTTGGCTTGAGGTTGTTCGGATTGGTTGGCGCGAAAGGGCTTGATTGGCTGGTTTGGTTTGACAGACTTTGATTGGATGGGCGATTTTTTTGATTTGTTGCTTGGCTAGTTGGCTGGCTGGTTGGTTTGTTGGTCGATTTAGGGTTTTGCGCTTTGAATTGCTTTGGCTCTTTGAGCAACACACTTCGGCTTGATTGCTTGCTTGATTGGCTTGAGTTGATTTGATTTGATGTGTTGGGGTGGACTGGATTGGATGGATTGTTTGATTGATTGTTTTGTAATGAGCGGATTTTTTGATCAAGTTGACTTGTGTTTGTTTGTTTGTTTGTTTGTTTGTTTGTTTGTTTGTTTGTTTGTTTGTTTGTTTGTTTGTTCTGAATTGAATTCATTGGTTTATTCCTTTGCTTTTATATGTTTTTTTTTTTTTTTGAGTTGTGTTGCTTTGTGTGTTGAGCAATTTGGTTTGATTGCTTGATTGCTTGATTGCTTGATTGCTTGATTGGTTGATTGGTTGATTGATTTGTTGATTGATTTGTTGATTGATTTGTTGATTGAGTGACTAGTTGATTGCCTATGACTGACTGTCCGATTGACTGGTTTGATTTGTTTGGTTGATTGTTTGATTGACGGATCGAGTGGTTCTTTTTCCTGTGTGGGCCTACGCATGGCATACAAGCTCTGAGCACTTCGTGGGCTTCTGACTCGCAGATGGTATCATTCATTCAGCCGCCGATTTTCACCTGCCCTCCTGCCGGATTTCAAAGCAAGGTAACGATGCATTGGGCTTAAATCGAGAGAGCACATTTGCATGTTCCGTGGTTGGGGGGGATTGGAGTCAGTTTTTTTTTAAACAAAAATGGAATACACAAACGCCATGGTCCACGTACCTTGAGGGGGAGGAAGCCCAAATACGCCCTGCATAAGGTCTCATTTGAGGGCTTAATCAGGGCTCCCTCCGGCCTCCCTCCCTCCCCCCCTTCCTCCCTCCCTCCCTTCCTCCCTTCCTCCCTTCCTCCCTTTCTCCCTTCCTCCCTTCCTCCCTTCCTCCCTTCCTCCCTTCCTCCCTTCCTCCCTTCCTCCCTTCCTTCCTCCCTTCCTCCCTTCCTCCCTTCCTCCCTTCCTCCCTTTCTCCCTTCCCCCCTTCCCCCCTTCCTCCCTTCCTCCCTTCCTGCCTTCCTCCCTTCCTCCCTTTCCTCCCTTCCTCCCTTCCTCCCTTCCTCCCTTCCTCCCTTCCTCCCTTCCTCCTTCCTCCTTCCTCCCCTCCTCCTTCCTCCCTTCCTCCCTTCCTCCCTTCCTCCCTTCCTTCCTCCTTCCTCCCTTCCTCCCTCCTCCTTCCTCCCTTCCTCCTTTTTTTTTCCCCCCTTCCTCCCTTCCTCCCTTCCTCCCTTCCTCCCTTCCTCCCTTCCTCCCTTCCTCCCTTCCTCCCTTCCTCCCTTCCTCCCTTCCTCCCTTCCTCCCATCCTCCCATCCTCCCATCCAGCCCCCACCAACTCAGCCCTCTCCCAAAGCCATGGGGTATGGGGCCTGGAACTTTCCGCCTAGGCCTGGGGCCCCTTGTTCAACAAGACCTCCCGCCCCCGCGATGACGACGAGACGGTGGAGTCTTTGTGGAGTGATTGGGACATCCCTCGGCGCATGATGCAGGCGATGTGGGCTGAAGTATTGGATAGGGGTCTGAAGGTCCTTCTTTTGACCATGAAAGTGGATAGGGCTTTGGCCACTTCCATGATGGTTGGAGAAACAAGGGGTTAGCCCTGTTCCAAAGGGAAATTGCCATGAAGCAAAGTGGGGGCACGTGCGTTTTGAAAGTGGCACCTGCAACATGGATGGTGTGTTGAGGTGGTTAGCAGATCATACACAAAGAGCCTCAGAAGCTGCGGAACCGGATGCTGCACCGGGATTTCAAGGCTTATGCCGTGAAGTCGTGGCCACCGCAGACCAGCAAATGCCTGTGAGAGTTGAATGGCTATTGGCTGACGTATGACAAACATGGCTTCATGACTTTCTCGTACTTCGAGTCTGTCCCTAGAACCTTTAGACACACATTCATTGACAGGTTTTTGTTGGCTGTTTTGTGTTTGCCCCTCGTTGCTTCAGATTTGCGAGGCGCCGGCCAAGCAGTTCAAACAGGCACAAGGTACCCGAAATCCCAACCTTTGGCAGAACCGTCCGTCAGGTGGCGCTTTGGATCAAGGAGAAGAACGAGGAGACGCGCTGGGCTTTTCCGCCAAAAAAGGGACTTGGAACTTGGAACCAATAATTAAAGAAGCAATGGGCACCAACGCCCGTTCGCCACAATATGTTTCTTTTTGTTTCAACTTTGTCTCGAAGCACCCGCACGCCGGGCTGCAAAACGGCCACAGACGCCCCTTGCCCCGTGAGGAGACGGGGGAGTGGGAGAGCACCTTCTGGAAGATGCTGGAAGAGTCCAAGTGCGACGACTGGAGCTTCCAGGGCCACACCATCTGAGGCGCCCAGAACGCGGCAAGAAGCGGCCGAGGTTTGGCGGCTGTGCCACGGAGTTTCGTTGAGACGCATTTTGTTTTTGGGACGGTGGAAAGGGGGCTTTACATGCTAGTTGCCCAGTGGTGCCCTGTTTCCTCTTTTTTTTGGGAAGGGTTTCCCTTTAAAGTCAACAAACCCAAAAAATGATACGGCTTTTTTCCTCATGGTTACTTGGCATCTGAGACAGGCTACATGAGGAAATCATGGCAAACCGTGTGTGTTTGCGTGGCACGGCTGCGTAGAGGAGGCAGGCTTTGGCGCGCTGCCCCCGGCTCTCGTGCCAAGTTCCCCGGGCCGGACTTTACGAGCGGAGCCTCGTTCTCGCAGCGGAAAGAGCGCGCCGAACTGTTCTGTGCGATTTGGCTATGTGGCTGTGGGTCAAATCCAATGGGAATCCCATTTTGGGGTAGGTGCACAACCCATTTTAGTCTATTTTAGTGGTGATTGGGATGTTCACTGGGGGCCATGGATTTTGACCCATGGCCATGGGTCAAAAACCACATACTAATCAACCCGAGCTGGTTTGTTGGTGGGGATCATCACTTTGGGAGGGGAACACCCCCCTATCAATCATTTGGGGTTGATTAATATGGCCATGGGTCAAAATCCAAAGCCCGTACCCCCAGTGAACATCCGATTCAATCCCCGCTAGAATCGGCTCTAAAATGGGTGGTACACCTACCCCAAAATGGGATCTTATTGGTTTTGGAGTGGCTCGATTGCAATGAGGACATCTTCAGCATGACTGGCCTTGTCTTCAGTGAGCCAGGGGCACTGAAATTATGTATATCCCTTGAAAGAGGTCTTGGCAGAGATCTTGGGAGAGGTTCTTTCTAGATGTTCTCCCTGTCCCTCCTTGCCTGCTAAGTCGGGCAGTTCTTGAGGGGAAGTTGACTAACTCACGAACTAACTGACCAACCCACCAACCAACCAACCCACCCACCCAACCACCCACCCAACCAGCCAACCCACCAACCAACCCACCAACCCGCCACCAACCAACCAACCCACCAACCAACCCACCCACTCACCCAACCACCCAGCAACCAACCACCCACCCAACCAACCCACCAACCAACCAACCAACCATCGCCTTTGCTTCGCCTTTGTGAGGTCGAGCTCATACAGGAGATGCGGAAGGAGCGCGCCAGGGCCTCAGCAAGGCACCGATGGCACCTAAAAGAAACATGCCATGGGAGAGAATTCTAGAATTCAGGGCTCCCTATTCTTCCATCTGCTTATGGATATGTGTTATTTTCCCTTGTTGGTTTTAAAGGAATTTATCTCTACTTGAGATATTTTTTCCAGGGGTCTTGACTTTCGTTTGGCCGTTCAAAACCATTGCTTCTTGTGACGTAAGGTGGCCTTTCCTCAAGTGGGGTGATGTGTTTATGGTTTTAGAGGGACATACAAGACAACGCCATCAGTTCCAAAACACTTCGAAGGCAGCCGACAAGACCTCCGGAGAAGATCATGGACTTGTGAGGGACATGACACTGGTACTCTTCTGTGGTGCCCATGTCTCCAGCAACTCATTTCTTGGCTTCTGGTGTGATCATGCTTGACCATTTTTGACCAGGCACAGGCCGCAGAGGAGCCTTAGAAACGGGTTGTTCCACGTGAGCCGAAAGTAAGGGGAGATTGAACAACCATCACTGTGTCATGAGTACGGCAGCCACCCATGTAGAAACTGCCGGCGAAATCAACCCCAGAGGGTCCCAGTGCCCTTTGAGGATGGTTTCGGGGAAGTTGGATTGGGTTGAAGCACCTCCTTGGAAAGAAATTGGACTCTCAGGGGACCATGTGGGACTGACGTCCATGCAGCAACCCAGTGCAGCATCAACCAGCTGTAGCAGCTCTAAAAGCCAAAGCTTCCTGCAGATTGTTCCTGATGATTGGAGCTCGGCCGCTATTAAATACACGCACGCTGTACACTGATCGTTTGCATCATGGTGTTGGCTCGCCAGGTCCCTGCAAACTAAGCGTGGAGCCCTGAAACAGTGGGTCTCGTCATTGGGAGATGTCTCATGGGTTGCACATTCGCAGGGAGCATCTCCAGTGCCCAGTGGCCGCTATTTCACGGACGTGCATTTGTGTGTGGTCGGGCTATTAAATGGACACCTTGCAATGCCTGGCCCGCATGTCCTAGTTGTCTCTGCGCAGGTCTGGAAATCAATCCAAACACTGAACAGGGAAAAGCCCTTAATGGCTGGCTGGCTGATAATTACATCTATGGAGATGTCTCCAAATTCGGGAACCCCCCCAGTTTGGCTATTTTCTGTTTGGTTTTCCTTTAACGCCAACACGGGGTTTTCCAAACAGGGACACGCCCATATCCAAGGGCCCCTCAGCCAGGGCCCAGGTTTTGTGTGTTGCGCTTCCGGGCATCCGCCCGGCCGAGGATGACGCCTACCTGCAAAGCAGGCACGCTGGCTGACGGAGAACGACCTACAGGGGCGCCACTGGGTGTTGGATATGCTTCGTGTACATGTAAACATGCATGATACATACATGTATATATGTATGTATATACATATGTGGCGTTTTTCTTGTAACAGTTTAAACAAATGAAATATAATCCAAAATCAATCATATTATTGTTGGCTGGCTGGGGGCTAAAGAGAAGGGGTGACCATACTGTGCTTGGAAACCCGTTGGCTTGATGCCGCAGCTGGCCCGGAAGCACCCAGGCAAGATGTTGGAGCATAGCATGCTGGCATCCAGGAAGCCGCAAACCCATGGCGCAGAGTGGCCACACACAAAAGTGCGGAGAGGGAAATGAACAACTGCCAAAGATATGGCCATGACGGTCTCACTTGTTCAAGGCCGACCTTTTAACCTTGTTTTTTTTTTGGAGGTCGTCCAGTTTTAGTCATGAAACCACAAGTGAGGCTTTGATTTCTAGGTTCTTTGGCCAACTCAGTCGGGTCAGCGCTCTGGCGCAGCGACACGCCATGGCCATCGATCTGGCGCGAGGGGTGCCCGTCCGGCCCATCGGCATCCATGCCCATGCGGCGGACCGCAGCAATTGGGCCTTGCCAATGGGGCACGGGCCAAGACGCCTTGGCCTTGCGCTGCCCAGCTGTTCCGTGGCATCTTTTGCGTGTTTGTTCGGGTTCATGGTGAACCTCCAGTCCCCCGGATATATCGAAATCAGATTTGGAAGTTGCCCCGCCAGCCTGAAATTTGGGGGTTTCACCCTGAAACCCCTCAGTCGCCCCTTTTTTGCGCCCGTTGCAAACGGCTCGAATGCCTTCAGGTCCGTGCTCGCCTGGGCGGGTGTCCAGAACCATCGCCGTCGCCGCTTCGCACGGCTCGCGATAGCGGACCCAGAGGTGGACGACTGCCCCGTGGAACAGGACTCCTTCCAGCTGGAGGGCCAAGACCGGCGGCGCCTGGACGTCTTGCTCTCCGAGCGCTACGGGCAGTCCAGGCACAAAGAAGGGGCAACTTCAAAGAAATCAGTTTGGGGGGTCAGTGCCAGGGATGTGGTTCCTTTTGGTTTCCCTTTAAACCAACCACAGCGAGGGCATCGAGGCCACAAAACGGAAGCCCGTATACAAGGATCACTCGGCAACTGGATCCATGGAGGCGACCTTTCTTCCTCTCCGTGTCTAACATGTTCCTTTAGGAACAGCAAACGCGTTTGGGGGTCCATCAAAAGTCTTTGATATATTTGTGGGTAGGCTAAATATATGAAAGATAATCCTAAGGAGTTATCTTCTGTGTACCCCAGATCAGATGTGGGCCGAGATGTATAAACCAGTTGGGATGATGACACCTGAAAGGAATTGGAGGGTGGAGTTCGAGGCCAGTTCCATGAGTAACCCCAAGTGGGTTCCAACAAAGGGGTGTGGCTCAAGATTAAACAGGAGGGGTTACGCTGGTTTTGGTCCACGTTTCCACTTACCAGGGTTCCATTTTGAAACCGGTTTTTTTGAGCCACAGCCAAATGGCTTCCTGTTGGATGCCACGTGCGTTGTCCGTTGCAGGCGATCGAAACCCGTAGAACGGGTCTCGGAATCTTCAAGTGGCAGTGTCCACTTGGGTCACTGGGGTGTGTCAAAATACGGGGCCCTGCAAAATGGGTTGGGGGGGGGGGGGGGGGGCGGTTTCTGGTTTCCCTCCAAGCCAACCCAACAAAAGGGTGGTGACCCGCAAAATACACAGAGCCTGAAGAATCATTCTCTGGCCTTTTCCTAGACGTTTTGGTTTCCTGGTAGTTTTGGGCGTGTTAAACGAAGAATTACCAGGAAATTCCAGGAGAATGAATCTCCCGGAGAGATTTTGTACTTTGTGGAGAAGCATCAGGAGCTACTTCGACTCCTTGATCCGGAAGGGGGCCGTGAAGGTGAATGGCCGACTGAGAAAGAAGTCCTTCAAGGAGTTCAGGGAACACTGGCCGGTGACAACCCCTTTTTGTATGTTGAAGTTTGTTTCTTTTTGGTTTTAACAAAAATATGTTTGCATGTATATATATATATATACACATATTAAAACGTATGTTTCCGATGTTCATCGCTTCCCCCTTGAACATATTGCTGTTTGCACCCCTGCTGCTCTTTGGTCCCTGGCTTCATGGTTTCCTTCATGCAATCATCGGGTGTCGTTCTTCACATATCGAACTCCCCCTGTCCCTATGTTTTTGGGTTCCACGCGCATGTGCATGTGAATATCGTTGCGTGCTGTGGTTTTCAAGGGGTTATGAATATGATGTATTGTTCTTATTTTTCCGCAAGTGTAGTTTTAGCAGTTTGCTGAAGTGGCATGTGTTAAGCGGTCTTTTGTTGAGGGAGAGGCTAAGCTAACATGGACCGTGTCTCTTTTTTTTTGGGGGGGGGGGCGTGATTTGATTTAACATGTTTCTGCAGATGTCAGGCGAGTTGTCCCTTTCGGGGGTGATGTTCGAATGGGAGAACTGGGGAGGTTTGAGGCCTGAGCCCAAGGTTTTCAGCCGCTGAGGACGGGGACGTGGTGGACGTGTCCTTCCTACTGGACGACAGCAGCTTGGACTTGGGCCCGGAGGCCATCCCCCTGGAGATACTCCATGAGGATGCGATGCTCAAAATGATGGGCTTGTTTCCAAGAATCATGGGGGCTGGGCATTGGGGCTGGGGGGGGAAGGAGGGGAGGGGGAGGGAGCCCAAGTAAGCCCTGATTAAGCCCCGAAAAAAAGGCCTTATTTGGGGCTTACTGGGGCTCCCTCTCCCCCCCTCCTCCCCCCCGGCCCCCCCATGAAAGAAGCCCGGACGTACAGAAAATGATCGTCTTGTATTTGGCAAACTTCCTGACGAACTTCCCGTAGCTGGTTTCTGAGGTGTGTGTGGCTCCTATGTGAAGGCGGTGTCAAATGCCAGGGTTGCCCCCATATATGTCCCTATGTTGCATGGAGTATGGGTGCGCAGTTTGCCCTAAACGGATACCGAAGGGAGGACACCATTGGGTTGTGTTCCCTAAAGCCATTCTCACTGTTGCATTTGTCCTTATGATGTGCTGAGTCACATCCATAGCAAGGGTGGCGACTGAAGCCCAACAGTGGCCATGAGTGATGAGTAGGGATCAGGGGCCACAATGACCTTCAGGGACCAGTACCTTTCCACCATCCTTTCCATGGCTTTGTGTCGGTATTCCATATTTTCCGCTGGGCATGGCACCCAAGAGCTTTGAGTTGGCGGGGATTGGTTCCATTGTGCATTCCTCTCACGCTCGGGGATTGATCATCTGAGCTGCAGGATGAACACCTGATGATCGTCAACAAGCCTCCGGGGCTGGTAGTGCATCCTGCGCCGGGCAACTGGACACTTTGCTAAATGGCAGCGCTTCTTTTTTTTTTGCAGTTTCGGCACGTGTGTACTAGTTGGATGTCTACTGTTTGGGGAGGACATGGGGGCCCAGGCTCACCAAAGTTCCCCATGTCCTCACAAGACCAATAACGTTTGGGGCGCATGGAGTTGAATTTGCCATGGAGAGCAAGCCGCGTGTGCTTAGTTGCACCCAGCGCTGCCAGCTAGGCAGCAGCCAGAAGGAAAGACACAACACAAAACGAAATGAAGGACACAACAAACACACTAACCATTTATATTATACTGTGGCAAGCGTTGCGGATTTTACGAGCAATAGTAGGGCCCCCCCAAAAAGAATGGCGGATCCCCTCTAGATTTGACATCCCTGCAGAAAAATAAAGCAGGACATTCATCCTGAACTTTGTTACTTCGACCTTTCTGTACAACAACCTCCGTTGGGAATGAGAGAATGACCCATATAAACCATCCAATTGGCGGTTTCCTTCAAGCCAAGTTTGAACTTGCTACGGATGATCCGTTCAACCCAATCAAGCAAGAGGACCAAAGCCTGGGTTCATTCCAACACCGCTGGCAAGAACTTGGAGCCCAGGACCGGCACTTTGGTCAACGCGGTGCTGCACCATTTGGGCGCCGCCGCCGCCGAGTTGCCCAGCACCGAGCCGGGGAAAGCGTCCGCGCGGCCGGGGATCGTGCACCGACTGGATGTGGGCACGTCAGGTGGGGAGGGGTGGGGTGGGTGCGGGGAAGGGGGGGGGGAGTGGGGGGTGGGGGGTGGGAGGTTGGGAGGTTGGACAGGAGTCAAGGGACGAAACCCCCTTGGCAGCCTGCTTGAGCAAATCTTGAGAGCATGCTCTTCATGGGAACAAAGCCGGTGTTGTGCTTTGGCGTCCGGAAGCGCGCCAAATTGGGTGCCCTCAAAAGCTGCTCCAATTTTGGGTTCTACCGTTTGGCGGTCAAAGGGAAACGGGCATGTTCCTCATTTTCTGGGGGTCCTATTTTGAGAAAACTCCATTTCAGAACCGTTTGGTGTTGTTCAAGTGGATTTTATTCCCAGAATAATCTAAGCGGCAGCTTTCTGGTTTGTGCTGACAATGGTTGGTGAACCCCAAACAACACACCATTCTCTCCCCTTTCGGCTACTGTTGGATGGACCTTCAACCTACTTTTGGGGAGGCTGTGAGTTTTCCCACGAGCCGGCCAACAGTGTCTACTTTTTGCCCGGGCAATGTGTCTTTCTCGAAATAGAGGACCCCTGCAAATTGATTGTGTCCGGTTGGTTTTTCCTTGCCCATCAAAAAGAAGTCGATCCCATTTTGAGAGCTAGCATTTGTCCAGATGAGGGCCCTCAAACCATCCAAGAGCGGTACACATATTTGACAAGCCCATATCTAGCCATGTCTCAAACTTCGCGATTTGGATGGTTCAGAAAAGTCATTCCCTCATTCCCTACGAGGTTTCCATCTTTGAGTCAAAGCAACAACAGTTGTACAAAAAGCTCGAAGTAACAAAGTGGAAGTTCCATCCAGCCAAGTGTTGGGAATGAACGGTTTGGGATTCCCTAAAAAAGGATTCACCAAATCGGTTGGATGGTCCAACCCGAACCCGAAAAAGGTGCGGCACTGGCTTAGATGAGGTGTTATCACCTATTTTTCAACCAGGGAAACCTCATCGAGTCATTCCACCAAAAGCAGACCTATGGAGTCGTTCGAACATCTTGGAACCTGTAGGTTGGATGGTGAAGGGTCGTTCCACGTTGAACATTTTCCGATGGAACCCTCTGCAGAAATGGAAAGATCCGTGGCCAAAATGGCCAGGGAGCCAGCCGATGGGTGGGAACGAACCATTTGTAGCTAGGGTACAGTAAATGTAGTACTTTTTTGTTGGTTCCCTGGTTTTTCTTGGTTGAACCAAGAAAAATGGTGGTTTTATAAGGAAAACCCAAATCATCGTACTACCTTCCCCCCTCTAGGTAAGGAAAACAGCCGCACCTCGGGGGCTGGGTCGGAGTTCCGAGCCCGGAGAAGGGATCCGCGGAGCGAGGGGTCATCGCGGTGGCCAAGACCGCGCAGGCCTTCACAGGCCTCAGCGAGGCCTTTGCCAGGCGCAAGGCGGATGGGCCGATCAAAGGGGTCGCCGGTGGGGGGGGGGGGGTGGGGGGTGGGGGGGGGGGGGTTGAGGGGTGGGGGTGGGGGGGGATTTATCATCCAACTGGTCGTTTACTTTCAGGGGATTCCAAGGTTGGGAGGTTTGTTTGAATATCAGCGGCTTTAGATGGGTCGAAAGCAGAAATCCAACCACTTGAATGTGGACCAGAAGCAAACACTTTGTTGTTTCAAGGCACGGGCAAACACTGAGGAAAGTGTTTTTGAATGTCAATGGGTTGTTTTCAGGGCTGTTGATATTTCCCAAAAGTCCGCACAATTAGCACCTATGGCCTTAAGAAGGTGTTGGTAACAGAGTTTGCTGACGGCATCAGTGAGCCCGCTAGGTCCGCAAGACCTACCTGGCAGTGGCTGTTGGGGGGCGCGGGTACTTCTTTGGGCACTCAGAGGGCGGGGGCCGCTTGGCTGAAAGTCGACCTGAGTACTGACCTGAGTCGACCAGTTTGTTTGCTCTTGGGCCTTGAACTGTTTGCGCCCATCTTGCTTTGGTTTGTGGATTAAAGGGCGGGCCTAGGAGATCCACTTGCTTTTCCATGATCCTTGCTGTGAGGAAGGCTATGTAAGTGGAGCGGGGACCACAATTCCCCACCTTTTCCTGTTGCCTTTTCAGGTGGATACCTGAATTCTCCAAACGACATATGAGTCCATGCATCCAGCGGGCATTTGTTCGGGTGAGTTGTTTGGTGGGGTGATGTGTTGGCTGGAAATCTGGCTCCGAAGCCCTTTCAGCCTTTGGAAAGCTTGAGTTGGTTTTAGCATCTGTTTGAACCGTATGTTGAAACGCAAGCATAATTCTAATTTAAGATACACATTCGGATTGAATTCATTCCTTGGCAAGTTCCATTTAGATTTTACTTGAATCTTTTGGCTTCCCTGAAAGGCCATTCAAAAGAGGAGCCCTATTGGGAGACACCCCCTGTCCGACAAGCAGCCGTTGGAGGGTGCTGGCTGTAGCTTGAGTTTAGGGGACCCCAGGTTCATTCCCTCGTTCCCTCATTCCCTATCGCAGCGATCGCAAGCTGATCGGCTCAGGTCATTTGGTGGACTTAGCAGTGGGCCGTTCGCGGGGGGACCGGCGCAAGATCTGCGCGCTGCCGGAGGAGTGCGGGGGCCGCACGGCGGAGAGTTTGGTGCGGGGCCTGGCAAGGGACCAGGACCTGCTGCTGCTGGAGGTTGGGGGTTGGGGGGTTGGTTGGTTTGCTTAAGTGGGGGGGGGTTGCCATGGAGACTAATCGGAGACTCTTGGAGACCCTTGCGTGGCGGGTGGTTGGGAATTTCCAGGGACGAATCCAACCATTTAGAGTGTTGCAGGATAGTTTGAGGATGTCTGGCCCCAGCAACATAAAACCACAAGGGGCAAAACGTATTGCCCTTTGCGCCGCTTTTCCTGGGGCTAGTTTTCCAGCCCCACTCACTTCCCGGGTTGGACTTTATACTTTTTGGGAAGACCATCTTAGTGGTAAATCACAACTTTGGGCTTTTTGGGGCCAATCCAGCTAAGAAGTGAGCCCACTTCATGGTTGTTGTTGGGAAACATGTTGCATTTTTGCTTGTTGTGGTTTAGTGGTTGAAATCCAACCACTTAACTGCTAATATTTGATTTTCTTTGCTCCTCTTCCAACGTCAGCCAAGACTTTCAGAGGCTTTGGCAGATGTGTCCGACAGGTGAAGCCGCGCACGGGCCGCACCCACCAAATCCGCATCCACCTGGCGGAGGAACACACGCCCATCTTGGGGGACGCCACCTACGGGTGCCCCCCGGACACCCCGAAAATCTGGGTGTGGGTGAAACATAGGGATAGGTTACCCTGGTAAATGGAACCAAGGACGATTTAACCTGCGGTCCAATTCCTGGTGGTGTCATTTCAACCCATATCCACATTCTTCTCCGCGATTCTGCGATTCGTTTGGGCCAGTGTTTTTGCGGGTGCCATGTCCCAGGTGGCGTAAAGGTGAGGATACCGTTTCTTGGCGCTGAAGCATTTTAAAGGAACAAAGAGGAAAACCACAATTTTTAGGGGGTCCCCCTATTTTGAGACATACGCAGGTGTTCAATGGACACAAACAACCCGTAAACCTATGACTTAGTTTTCCATGTTAACAGATAGCTTGAGGGTCCAGCTACCTGGTGAGTTGCCAAACAGTTTCTTGTTGGTAGGCTTCTTCATAACTTCTATTTCTAGAGGCTGCAAAGACGCTTTCAGCGTTTGAACTTTCTGGTCAGGCTGTGGTCACTGTTCAGTTCAATGCCGACCTCTTGACCTTGTCCCAAGTTGGGCGGACTGAAAGGCTAGCGATTCTGTCCAGGTGTTTGGGAAAGTAGGGGTGCTACCTTTCTGGTTCCAGCTGTTTTTAGATGAAGCTTGACTATTTGAGGTTGTGTCTCGAACAAACCAAGGAAATCAGATGGAGATGAACTCGCAAAATTGGGGTCCCTTCAAATGATTGGTAGTTATGTGCTATGTCTTCTTCTGAGAAGCTGACATTCTCCGTCTTTGTAGGTTTTGGAAACGATGCATTCCTGGAGTCAGAGTGGTTGGGAAGTACAGCGACTGGGGTTGTTTGTTTGCCAAGCACCTGCAACAAAACTGTTGTTTGTGCAAATGATTATTTGCAAATGCTGTTTGTCACCGAATATGTCGAATCATTTTTTTGCCAATATTCTTACGTCATTGTGTTTGTCGCCGAATGGTTCGTGAAATCCGGTGACCAAAATTTTGCGGTGATGTTTGTTTCCAACTATTTGGGTGGAAGGAGCTGGCACAACTCCCCAGTTTTCCTTAAGGTTGCCAAGGGCCCCCAAGTAGGGCCCCGGCCCCCCCCAATCCCAATAGGGGCTAATAGCTAATAATAAGGCCTGTCATGGGCTAATGAAACCATCAAACACCCAAGCAGCTGCTTCTGGAAAAGAAGGATGGTTGAAAAGAATGGTTGGAATCAAACATAGAAATACATCAACCATCTCAGCGAACCAAACCGCATAATTGGAAACACCTTTACCAGAAAAGAAATAAAACAACCATCTCAGCAAACAACGAACCATAATTGGAAACACACCCCAAGCAGCTGCCACGCCTTTTTTTTCTCGTGTAGGTGGGCGTTCATGAATCGGCGCTACGCTTCCGCGGCCCAACGCCCCATGCTGCACGCTTACCACCTTGCTTTTGAGCACCCGGTCTTCAAGGAGTTCCGAGAGGGACTTTGCGCGTAAGGAACTCCACCTAGGTCCCCCAGCTAGGTGCCCTTTCTCACCAACTTTGTTTGGGAGAGGGTTGCCAACACCCCAACTAAAATAGACCGCGGAAAAAAAGGTGCCCTTATTCTAACCTCTCTACTGGAGGACCCTTCTGTTGATTTTGCATATTATTGAGGACGACACTTTTTAGCGGCAGAGAGTTGGCAGTTATTTTGGCGAATCTGCAGGGCGTCCCCTCCGTTTTCCTCTTTCATTTGGCAACTTCGTTGGATCCCTCCGGGGCCCATTGTCAGAGCAAAAGGGTTGCGTATTCCAGGACCCCCTCAGTCAGGTTCCATGTGGGGACAAGTGTGCGGGCAAGCCGCCATGTAGATTTCCTCCAAGATGGTCCCGAAAGAGTGCGGGATTTCCTTTCTCCCATGTTTTTGCGGGTTCTTACTCCAAAACTGGTCAACGCATTTGGAGGATTCACTGTAATTAAGCCGCCATTTCAAAGGTAATTGAGAGGATGCCACTTCAATTGACAGGTATGCGAAACTGGCCAAAAAAGAACTGGGTACTAAATACAGGGTCTGGAATAACAAACAATCCTCGATCCTTTTTGCCCTTCTGGTGGAAATAAAGGATTATGTGCTATTTAGCACCCAGCTGATGCATTGAAGGACCAGTACGTTGTCCGCATGCCGCAGGGTTTCCTATACAGAGACATATATTTGGTATCTTTAAACTTGGGGGGAATTTTTGTCAGGATTTTTCCCTGTGACTTTCGGTTCAGCCCAAGCTGACAAAGGGATACCCTTAAAGGCAAACCAGTATGATCCAATGGAAAGGGGTGCGCTCCCATGGAAGGGGTTTGGAAGACTACTGTCCTTTTGAATTACCCTGTCCACTTCTGTGATTGGGAGGGTGCCCGCTCCAATCAACTGATGCGGAACATAGGAGCTCGTGGAGTTTCGTGCTCCGATGCCCGCGGACATGCGGCGCCTGCTGCAGCGCATGACCCCGGAGGATGCGGGATGCGGGATGCGGGATGCGGGGAAGGGCCTTGCAGCGATTTCGGAGAGCAATCATTATGATGCTCAATTTCTACCGTCACATGGCTATGACGTGTAAAGAGTTGGAACCACCTAAAAGTGGCTCGTAGACGTGAATCCCGAAGTCTGATGTCCACCAACTGTTGATTGACAGGAATAATGTGCCCCAGTTGAGATGCATGAAACCCTATAAATACTGGAATGAACCACCTACTGACTGGTGCATGATTCTGTCCACTCACAGTGGTGACGTCCCTTGTAGGGGCATCCCATTGCGGAAATCATAGGATAGGGATCGCCTCCGACCCATTTTGAACAATCCAGCTTTCTGGAGTCCCTTGTTCACAGGGTGGTGAATAGCCTTTACAGGGTGCTCCATTTTTGCACATTTCTGATGGGGACTTTGCATGGAATTGGAGGCCTTTTTTTATTGTCGCCGAGGAAAGCAACAAGTCCAGAGGATGGGCTTTTTACCACCACGGGCTGACGTGTCCTTGCATTCAAAAAGGGCTAAACCACATATTCCATGATAGCGCTTTGCAATGATTTGTCATTTCGGTTCACTAAATATGGGCCAGAATCAATCCTTTATTTTTGTTTGCGGGGAGTTTCCCTCACTCCTTTTTTGTGGAGGCTTCTTTTGTCGCATCCAAGTAGTGACGGATGAGGATGTAGAGGTCTTGAATCATTTTGAGCAACCCAGCTTTTTCATGCGTTTGTCGGTTCCATGCTACGCAGGGCTTTGCCTTTCCCGGTTTGACGTGCGCTGCCACACGCCACCTGGATCAACTTCCTTGTGAAGGGGCCTCCTGTCAGGTGCCACAGTCGCAGGGAGGGCAAATTCAATGGCTCACAGGTTGACTTACATATTTGCTATAGATTGGGCCCTGAAGGAACGGATCTCTAGAGCAAGAGCAAGGTTTGGAAGATCATGGGTTTTCAGGAGTAAAGTAGCACTGCCTGCAAATGATGCGAACCAGCCTGGTTGCTTGTTTGGTTGGGCGGCAAATGAACCAAAGGAAGGGCCGGCCGTTTCGGCATTGTGCCAAGGTGATCTGGCATTTTCTGTGCTCCACGGCCACGGCCATGCCACACCCTGCAACGTTTTTCGGCGATGGCAGGAAGGCGTGGAGCTGGAGGCCTACCAGTAGCATCTGCTCGCGCGTCTGCTCGCGCGAGAAAAAGACGAAGCAACCTGAGGAGTTGCAAACTTTGCTGTCCACCAACACGGGACCTGACTGAGGGGGTCCTGAAAAACTATTTTCCTTTAGAAGGGACCCGTTTGGTGGGTTTCGTGTTACTTGTTGTGTGCAGGAGGGTATACCCACTCACACGGAGTGGAAATTGATGGCCAACGTGAAAGTGGAGGTTTCAGGTTGGAATGCCAAACTCCCGAAAGGACCACAGCGGTTTGCGGGTTGCACAAAGAAGAGCAGAATTGATGCGAACAGATTGAATGGCAGATTGCAAAGTGAACTGTAAACATCAAGCAGGAAACAGTTGGAAATCATTGGGCAGAATCATGATTGTTGTTAAGACCGCTGCTACATGCCTTGATTTCAGCAGGTGTTGCGACTTGTTGCCAACGTCATTTTGGCTTGCTGAACCTTTTCTCGGTCAGTTTGGGGAGCTGGTTTCGTCCGTATGTCCGCTCCACATGCTACCACGGATCTCACGGATCTCACGTGGGGGAGACTCCGAAGCCTCCGACCTTTGGACCTCATGGCTTTTCTCTGAGTCGTGGCGTTTCTGCAGGCTTGGAAGCTCGGCTGCTGTGTGCTTTCCGTTGTTTTGGGGGAGGCAGGGGTGGAATGATCCATTTTCCGGCCTAGAAGCTCCGTGGTCGAGGCGTTTTTGGGGTTTGACCACTTATGGAGTTGGAAGGCAAAGCAGCAAAAAGCTGAGATGACTTTTGCCGACGGGTTAAAACGAGCTCACCCATGATTATTGTCTTTGGGGGACCCCTCATGTCCGCTTGTTGGAACATTGGCTCCGGAACCACCAGGCAAGAGGCGCAAGAGCTCAAGCTGCTGCGACAGCAGATGGCGGTCTCGCCCCGAGCAAGGAATGGCTGGAGGGCTTGCTTTGTTGATTCTTTGGTTGGTCTGTCGGTCGTCGGTTGGTTGGTGCTTTGGTTCTTTGGTAGTTGAACGTTGGGGTAAGGTTGCTTGAGGCTTGCGCGCCTTTTGGAAACGCGCCTTTTGATCAAGACATCGGGAGGCGCTACATGGAATACATAGGGCCCTTGCGCGCGAGATTCCCATGTATTTGATGCACAAGAAGCGGCTTTCTAGCTGTGGATTCGCGCTTGCTGAGAGGTCCGTGCTTGGAATCCTTGGCCTTATTTGGATTGGGTCATCCTAACGTGGCCCTTGTAAAATGGCTGGGGGTACCCGCTTCTGGGGTGTTGAAGGGACCCCAAAAGGACACCAACCATTTTTGGTGGTCTAAATCAACAAAGAAAAAGAAACAAAACAGGGCACCTCCAAGGGACTGGCGGTTTTGTCGTCCCAGGCCTCCAAGGCCCCACCCCGCGACGAGCGAAGAGACCTCGTGCAAAGCCGCGGCCTCGTGGCACCAAACGCTGCCTCGATGGGTGCTTCTTCCAGGCAACCAACTAGGTGTGTCATGTTTTTTGGGGGACCAAGAATGGTCGGTTTCCTTTTGATGTCCCTTTAACGCCGCCCCAAAAGAGAACTTGCTCTTTGAGTTTCGGGGCTGCGAATCTCCTGGTGGAAAGCTCACGACCCACCGATTGGTGCAATTGGTTTGGGCCACGCACGGAGAATCCGGTAAAATTATCCAGTAGCCTAAGGGCCTATGGTCAATTTGGAAGAGACATGTGGGACTCACTGAAATTCCTTTGGGTTGGTAGCCCTGTGATGGTTTTGCAAGGCAAAAACATTTCTGCGAGGTGCCCCCCCCCATTCCCTTACCTCTTAAAAACACAACTTTTCAACTTTTGGGGGTAACATGGGCTATATGTCTGTAAAAGATAAACTTCCCCAGGGCTTGGAGTTTTAAGGGGTAAGTTCCCATAGTACAAGTTGAGGACAGTCTACCGCGCGCTTGTTTGCTTGAGCGCGGGGGTAAATAGTGTCAAGGCAGGTGCAAGGGCTCGGCCTCTTTGCGGCCAGCTGTCACAGGGAATCTGATTCAATTCCTCCGCTAGCTTTGCTTGAATTCAGCGGGTGTGCTTGTCTGACTTCATGCTACGAGGGGCGCGTGTCATAGGCAAGCCCTCACTTGTGAAAGCCCGGTCGAATGCGGGAAGGTCCGCAGAACGCTGTACATGCCCCGGATATCCATGGCGTGGTGTGGTGGGTTGTTGGTGTACGGTCGCCGGGAACACCCGCCCCTGTTTAGCAATAGATATTGACAACTACTGGAGTCATCGAGTGGGGAAACACCACTTCAACAATAAGTGATGCCCAGTGTCACGTTGAGCAAGACGTTCGATTGGCCATGTTTGTTTTGCACTGCCACAGCCGGGTGAACACATGTTCTCAGAGCTTGGTGTGTCGGGCGCACAAGGTTTCCTATCCTCACTTCCTGAGTTGGTGGACTTTAAACTTTTTGGAAAGGCAATTTTAGTGGTAATTAAACAGTTCAAACTTGTTTTGGCCAGTCAACTTGGGAAGTGAGTATCAAATCCCCGGACATCACATGCCTCGTTCTCCTCTTGGCCCAGGCTTGAGCCTCAGCCACAGCTGCCAAAGCCCTGGCGTCGGTGGCCTCAGCTTGGGGGAAACGCCGCGTTGGTGTCAGGGCTGGAAGTTGGAGTGGCCGGTTTGTGCCTGCCAGGATATTCAGGGAGGATGCCTATGAAAAGAGCCTCTGGCATAATTACCACGTGGTTCTTGAGCGGGTATAGCAAGCGCAGCCCCTCAACGTCTTGGATCCGGTCGTTTTGGGAGCCCACTTTGGACCAACCCCCCCCCCCCGGCAGTCAAACCTATACAGCAACATCTCATCCCACAAAACCTCTAGAGAAATTTGCCGAGTGTTGAAAAAAGCGCCTGCGTTCACATAGGCCCTTTTGGGGAAATCAAGGGGGTTTCCACCAAACCCCCCAAACGTTAAACTTTTGCAGGGGGGTCAATAGCCACCAAGTTTTGGGAGCCCACTTTGGACCACCCCCCCCCCGGAGTCACGTGGCGCCCGCTATCAAGCTGGAGGCTGAGCTGAGCTGTGAGGAGCTGCAGAGGCGCCTGCAGGCGGTGCAGGCGCGAAGTGTCGAGCGTCGGGGCCTGATTTTTGGTGCAACTCGTGGTTTGCCCCTTGGTCCCTGGCGGTTTCAACACTAAGGTTTTCAACTTTCAACTTGGTCCTTGGTGGTTTCCCTGGTTTCCCGCTACGGCTTTAAACTGTCAACTTGGCCCTTGGTGGTTTCAACTGTTCAAACGTAAGGTGCTCGGCTTTCAACTTGGTCCTTCGGTTTGGTTTTGGGTTTGGATTCGTTTTCTTGGAAGATTCGGTTGCCCTTGTAGAAGGGTTCGCTCAAAAAATAGGAGCACCAGTGTGGACCATGGGCTTCTGCTTTGGGCCGAGCCGGGCGAGCGAAAGGTGCGAAGCCACGATTTGCTTTTGGTGTTACTAGTTGTTTTCCCCTTGTTGGGGCCACTTGCCCACGGGAAATCAATCCCAGGTGCGATCGACAGAAAGGGGTTTAGTTTTCTTGGCCGGTTTTCGTTTTCGCCTTTTCAGTTTTAGACGTGTATCCATTGGCTATTTTGCTGTTGATTCTGAGTCTATCGCGGGTGAATGCTGGCCACATCGGCATGTCTCAAAAGACGCCTCCTGTGGGGTTGATGGCTTCAGGGAAGCCCATCATGGGGGTCCAGGCGCATTGGTGGACGTTTCGGGCCATGAGGCCCAACTGCTGGTCCCAGCTGTTTGGGTCCTACAACTGGCCCGTGTAGGCGACAAGGGACGCGGCGCTGCAGAGTGCTGAGCAAGAGCCGGGGCGCCTAAGCGCCTAAGCTCGAGGCTGGCCTTGAGTAGGACTTAGGGACCTTCATTTTGAACAACCCGGAAGATCCGTCAACAAACATGTGTGGTGTGCTTTGAAAACCATCAAAGCCAAAAACTTAGTGGTGCGCAGCAGGGAATCAGGCAATGACCCCTATAAACCATCCCCTATGGTTTCCTTGGAGGGGATCCTGTTCCGGTTCATTCCCAACACCCGGACTCAGGCATTTCCTACAGCAAGAAAATGGGGTCCGAGTCTTCTTCCGGAGTCACTGGGTCTACGTTGGATCCCAACAACCACCGGAGAGGGGGTAGCCAACCATTTTCCTTGTGCTATTTAAAGGGTGGTCCCTTTGCTAGCGTACTATAGGGGAAATGGAATCACTGGGTTGACTACAGCTTTTTTCTTCTTCGTGACAACTTTGGATGGTGGGTTCGTTAGAACGCGTTTGCCCATCAAGTTGTTACCAGATGCCCCTCATGACATGTTCAGCATGGCGTCCGCCCAGAACGGCGCCCGAAATGAGGCAAGGACTCACATGAACGCATCATGTTCGCATTTGTGCGGAAAAAAGATGGGGGGCTAACCAACAAAAAGCCGCGTGCCAACTCGGCTGAGCAAGGAGAATGCAGTCCCTCCTAAGTTGTGGACATGTTTGTGCTAGCGGGGGGTAATCCGAACACCAGAACTGGGGTCATGTCTACGCCACAGACCTATTTCTTCTCCCCGCCACGGACCGGGGGGGCATTGTCGCTGCTTTGTCGGCGCGGTTCTTGGGTGTGCGCCGACCAAGGCGCGCCAATTTGGAGCTGTTCAAGCAGCAGTGCGCAGCCCAGATTTCCAGTGCTGTTGGTTCTTATAAAGTGTATGTAAAGGTGCCATGGACATCGTGGTCACGACCCACAGAAGCAGTTTTGACCATGGCACACATGGAACTGAGCCCTGGCCCCTTGCCTGGAGGCTCAAAGATCCCGCGCCCTTCTTCCATGGAACGGTCTGTTCAGCCAAGGCATAGACCCCTGGAGGGTGAATGACAGATCGGAATGGATGGGTTTGAATCATAATTTTGGAATTACCACATTTTTATCTGAAGGAAAAACTACTCCCATTCAGGAAGCCACATCCACTTGTCCAATGTCATGAGGTTCCACAAGTCCATGGTCTGTTTGGGCCGAGGGAGGAGCCGCATGGTCGCGTAGCACCCACTGGCAAGTCCAAACCAGCTGTTCAGTGGCCTTTTGGTCCCCCCCCCAGCGAAGCTTGGTGCCCGACCCGAGTTCCTGCAAATCCAAAGTTTCCAATCTCCGCTATCAGGCTGGTTCCACGTGCGGAACGCTGGCAGGCGGCGTTCGACGGCTTGACTCTTGCGATGAAGCGCCGGTCTTCCCCAGATCCCTTGGTTTTGTTTGGTCCCTTTGAGGGTCATATTAAAATGGTGTAAAGTAGTCCTATCATGACCAACTTTGGTTTCGAAGGTACCCCCTCAAAATGGATGGTTTCCTTTCGCTTTTCCACTAAATCAGCCCTAACAAGGTAGCCTTAGACAAAGGCAGACCCATTCTAATCATTTTGGCCTTACCTTCCTGCAATGCAGTCAAGGGACCCTTCGGGTGCTTCGGTTGCCTGGAAGTTCTGGCCGCCAATCGCCCAGCCTGGCCAGGGGCGTGAGGAGCCAACGCCCGGCTCCGAGAGAGCGCCCCTTGGGTTCTTTAGGTTTGGCGGTTTAGGGCAAGCAAGAGGAAAACCACCATTCTGGGGAGGGGGAGGTTCCCCTAAAGAAAGGCTCACCCAGATTGTGAGAGTGGCGAAGTGGAATGAATCACTTGGTTCGATCGCGAGGAACTGTTTGACAAAGAGACCTACCAAACACCGTCCAGCGTCAGATGGCTCAACCAGCGCAAGACCCAAAGACAATTTGGGCAGCTGGGAGCCAAGGCTCATACGCCCAATATGTGCACCAGTGCAAACGGACCAGTGCAAGAAACCTCAACGTCTCATCCACGTCTCATCCACGTCTCATCAGTGATAAGCTCCGTGACCTTTCTAACTTGCAGGGTTTGGCCAAATTGGTGCAAACTATGCCCTGGCATCCCCTTTTAAGGTCTTAAAGGAGATAGAAAACGAAAGGGTTTTAGCCAAACCTGTTTCTGTTTGAAAGCGCCATCGCCGCCTTTCGCCGTGGCTCATGGCCAAAAAGAAGCGCCGCACCGCCGGCCCCGCGGCGGCGGGCACCGGTTCCGCGGCCGCGGGCGAACCCGCGGCCGGCGCGGCGCTGGGGGAGGAGCTGCTGGCGAGCGCCGTGCGGGCGGCGCAGTGGCTGGCCGGGAAGGGAGCGGCACCAGGCGATGGCGGTAGCACGCGGGAGGGGGGTGAAAAAGTCCAGGCCCCCTTATCCATTTCCCCCCCCCCCCCCCCGATTTTTGGTAGGTTGCTCCAAATCAATCCGCATGATGCCAGATAGTAGTGGATTCCTGTGTTGTCATGTCCCTCCACGGGTTGCGGATTAGGGGTCCCGGCGGGATTGACCAGCACAGAGACACACACAGACTCACACATATATATATATATATGTATATATGCATATTCATTGATTGATTTTAGTTAGTGAGGGCGACCAAAATGTGGCCAGTGCCCAGGGGCTGAGCAAATCAATTTTGCGCTGCCAAGCTGCTCTGAGACCTCACACAGGATCAAGTGTATTTGCTTGCGCTGGAGCAGCATTCGCCCATGGTGGATTTGGAAGTTGGAAAAGATCAGGGGCGTGCAGTTTTCGATTCCGGGGGGACACTGTCTGAAACGTGCTTGCCAAACAGGCCGCCCTTGGCTTGATATGTTCAGCCTGTTGCCCAGCAACGGGAAAGGCCCTGATGCCAGCAGCTTGATTCACAGGCGCGCGCATCACATGTTTTGAACATGACCTTTACACAAGGACTCATTTGCTCGACTTCGTTTCACAAAGATGCAACTTCAGGGTTTCCGGTTCCATTCGGTTCCGTTACTTGGAAGATGCTTTGCTTGGCCTGGCATTGAAGTTGGCGGCGCCAGGCCACGAGTTGTTGGAGTCTGTGAAGCCGGTGATCCTGCTGCGTGCGGCCAAGTACCAGCTGGACGCGGGTACCAAGGACAGATGTGGACGGTTCCATTTTCCTTGCGGGTTGAGGCAGGGAGAGGGTTGACAAGTGTTGACCCTTGTTAAGCCCCTTCTGCAAGCGGGAAAGGGCTTACCAGGTTCTGGCTTGACCCTGGCTTGACCCTGGCTTGACCCTGGCTTGACCCTGACCACGCACAATCTCCTCCACCCCCCCTGACCCCGACACGTTGGTCGCCAGGAGAAGCCGAAGCCGGGTCCCAAGGTCCGGTCGCTTGGGGCCGCGCCCGGTGCGCTGGCGCTCTCGCCAGAGGAGGTGCGGCGAGCGACGGAAGCCTTCAAGGCGCTGGCCAAGCAGCCAGAGGAGCCGCATGAAACCACAGTGGAGAATTTCAGCGGGTGCTGCCTGAACCCTCAAACTACCCTTAAAAAGGGATGTCACCCCATAAGTTTAAGGCAACCACCCGGAATTTTGAGGGTCAGGTGGAAGCCATCTGGTTTGCAGAAAGTTCAGTTGCTGCTGCTGCTGCTGCTGCTGCTCATGACGACGTTTGTTTGTGCAGGATTGTTTTCCCCTTGTGAGACTGACAAAAGCGAGTGTTCAATCTTCACTGTCGTCTCGGTCCTTTTGCTGATCCCGTTCATGGAAACCAGTTGATCCAGGATGGCCCCGAATAGCCTACAAGTCAAGTAGACACTACTTGCCAGTCAAACACTGGATTGTTGTTGAATCCAGACACTTTGGTGAATACACTCGAGGATGGCACCAAAGCATGGCTGGAAGTTGCTGGAAGGGGACAACAAACAGTCAGCAAGTCGGCATCAAGTCGGCCATGACAGCAAGGGCTATATGATTTGGTACTCCCGTTTCTCTGAGTTACTATCCATTTTGAGAATGGAGCCAAAGAACCGCGCAGATAATTGTTTGCTTTTTCCTCAGGATGGACATGGATCATCTTCAAATCTTCAGGCAGTGACCGCTGCATTGAGGGTGCCCATGGGTTGTACTTTCTCTGTTTTTTCAGTTTTTTTTTTTTTTTTTGCGGAGTTGTGCCTTGGACCTCTTGGATGGTGCTTAATTCTCCCTGGTGGTGACGGGGCAGGGGCTGGGTTTTTGTCGTTCACCCTTTCAGGGGAGACAAACATATTTCCTGAAATATGTGTGTGTTTTTCTCCGTATTTCTCCATCCCCCCATCCCCTGCTTATCCCACCTGAACCCTCAAACTACCCTAAAAGGGATTTCACCCCACAATTTAAAAGCAACAACCAATTTGAAAGAGAATTTTCAGGGTCCAGGCCCGCAACGGGCGGGGGTGACTTCGGGCTAGCTCTCGAGGAGCTGTTGGGGGCCTCCTGCAAATCGCTGCGCACAGCGCTGCACCCCTTAGTGGAGGCAACACTGAGAGAGGCCAGACAGGGAGACCGAACCGGGGCTGCCCGGGCTGAGGAGGGCGGTAGATCAATCCAAAATTGCCTCTGGAGCGATACCACTCACTGGTCCATGTTTTTTTTTGGTTTTGAGACGCTTGATTCTTGTTGCGAAGGAGGTACTTTAAGCAATCCTCCAAGAGTAGGGGTTGCAAAACCCGCGCCGACCGGCTCCCTTGCGGGAAAGGTCTATTGCACTTTTGGCGGTGCCTATGAAGGAAAATTGTTCACATCGAAGCACACCTAAATCGAGTGGCGGGGTCTCGGCGGGTGGGTTTGTACAGGTACGTGAACCGACCCCCCCCCTTCCAGTCGGACTACACCTTTGCCACCAACAGGACCAAAGAAAAGAGGAGAGAAAAAACGCGACAGCGCCCACCACCCTCAAAACAGGTTCCAAAGAACAACGACGACAGGAGAAGTTGTTTCGAGGGATGACAAAAACCGGAGGAGAAGGCGTCACCGGCCTTCCGGATCACTGCAATGCTCGGGGAGAAGGCGCGTTTTTTCTCCTGGGGCTTTGCCGGGAGGCAACGTGGAATCCCAAGAAAAGGCGCACCACCAGGAGATTCCAAGCTGAAAACGCGGGGGTGTTTGGGTTGGAGTTTGGTGTGGAGGGCGAGATGAAAGGAGATGCTTGTCCCCATTGAAAGCTGATACTGATAGTCTGAACGCGCCCAATTTTAAGGCAATTCTCCTGGGCGGCAGCAATTCTGACTGAAAACGCACACTCAAGCCGAGCCGGAGCACTTTCTTTTGGCGCGGTCTCGCGGCCTTCCCTGACACCTCCGATTCTTGTTTTTCGGTTTTTCTTTTTCTGGGGGCGCATCTTTCTCCAGAGGGCGCCATGGGGCCGGGTGTGGGAGGTTTCCACCTTGAAGATGGCAGCTGGCCTTGGCGTCGTCTCATTCGAAGGTCGCAGATGGCCAATTTGTTCATCCCGGAAGCAGCGACCCTTCAGGCTTCAGGCTTCAGCTTGGGGATGCAGTTCTCGTTACCGGCCGCGCTCTATGGAAACCGTGCTATCATAGGAGCTTGGCCCGATTCGCAAGGGATGTGGGGATGTGAGGCCTTTGTCGCGGCTCGGTACTTTTTTTGATGGATCGTTAGTGAGAATTGGAAACCGTGCTCCTAGAGAAACCGGCACTGGTTGTATTCAGGTTCCCCCTACTTAGTTGGTGGTTTGATTGGTTTGGGATTTGAAGCCCTGGCTCTTGTGTGTAATTGGCACACCCCTCCTTAACCACCACCAAACCAAACCACCAATTAGACGGAGGCTGATGTATTGTCCAGGTTTTCTTACCCATCTCAGACTTCGAATTGGGAAACCCAGTCTTCCTCCAAGCCAGGCTCGGTGGCCGGAGGCGCTTCGCCCCTGTGTCTGCAACGCATACGCTAGGCTCATTTGGTAAGACATCCGGAAAATGGGGCGCCCCAACCGCCAATCTGTTTTTTTTCGACCTCAATGTTTGCTTCTTTTGTCCTATGCGATGGTTGGGCATGTGTGTCGTTGAAGGGGAGGCAGACGGGACCCAAACGTCAGTTTGAGATTCCTCCAAAATGCAACCACTTGAAAGGACTTGCACATTGTAAATGTTCAGGAGTTTAGGGTCGGACTTACTTTGAAGTTTTTGTTGATGCTGTTTTCGATGAATCGCCAGAACCTTCAACACATGTTGCAGGTGCCATATTCTTGCCTAGTTCAGCATCCAAATCCCTTAAAGTTGTTTCATTTTTTTGCCCGCTCAAACTGGACCCCAACAAAACGTCCACGTTTTCCGAAGACCCCGCCCCCCCGAAGACCCTCGCTGCGCCGGCCTTAGCTGAGGCCTGCTGCGGGAGCTGCGGGCGCTGGAGGCGAGCCGGCGCCCGAAGCTCGGGGCCTATCAGCGCTGGGTCCGGGAGCTGGACGTAGCGGAGGGCTCCCCACAGGAGCCCGGAGCTCGGAACGGAGACCGAGCCACGGAAGCCGCGGTTTTACGTGGCAGACGCGGTTTGGTGAGAAGCATCTTGGGTTTGCTTTGGGCCTCTTTGGGTTTGCTTTTGGCCGAAAGCGAGATGCGTAAGCAACGCATAAACACAAATTGGAGAGTCACCCCCAGGACTCCCTGGATTTTCCCTTGTGAGTGAGTGGGTCGCCGCTTCTCTTCTTGGGGTGAT